ACAGGACAGCTATTACCCTTCCCTTTATAGTTATGACAGAGCTTAACTCCCTTTTACTCTTAGTGGGAGTTGAGCATTCAGTTCTGCTAAGCACTTTTGAAAACTTCAGCCCAAGTCTCCAAGAAATATATCTGAAGACACCAAAAATGTATAACTTAATGTGAATGAGTTATATTCAACACTAGCTGTACAACATAAGTTCATTTGATGAAAAGATAAAAGGACATTTTCTTTGACATAGTGAAGACATACAGCAATTTTAACTAAAACATACCGCAAATTATAAAGTTACTTTAGAGAAATGTTATTGAACCAAACTTAGTTGAGTGTGTTTGTATCCATCTGATCTCACTGATCTTTTACTTAGATTGTGAGCATTGTGGTGCAGGGATTGACTTTTTTGTTCTATGGTTTTACAGCACCTATCACAGTGGGGTTGTGGTCCATTAGTAGGTCTCCTAAATGCCACAGTAATGCAGATAATACATTGTATAATTATAGTTTATTATTTGTATTATCATAGCATCAAGAAGCCCTAGTTATTAAGAATGGCTGCTATGTTGGAAGGGAATTAAAACTTCCAAATAATTAAATCCTCATTAGGATTGTCATGGATTTTTAAATGTTCTTTTTCCACAATGAAAACAAATATAGTATCATATGGTGGGGGAAAATAAACAATTGATTTTGGTTTCAAAAATATAATCTTTTAAAGTATTCATATCATACAATGATTTAATCTGGTTTCTTCAATATGTGCTTGTTCAATTGCATAGTGTATCACTCTTATTTTTATGAAAGTTTCTAATCACTGACCAGGAGTATCATATACAGTTAGTCATGGTGCACTTATACAATAGTTTTACTATAATAATGGCTTCAGATGAGCACAATTGTGTTTGTTTGTAAGTGAATTCTGTACACAAGTAGGGTGGGGAAAATGCAAGCAAATTATTGAACCACTTGGTTTCAATGACCATTGCAATTCCTGCTGAAATACTGGAGTCTAATACGATCATCCTAGTAAAGTTTTCGTGAAGTTTTGATTTGTTGATGCAGAGAGTGTTAGCTTGAAGTAAATGGATGGTATCAGTTAATACCCAAAATATTCCAGCTCTTTAGCCCTGTAAATAAGTTTGAAATACTTTGGTTAATGAATTTTGAAGGTGTTGCAGAGTTTATGGAAAATGGATGCCATTTATGGCACATCATTTTTTTGGAAACAAGTCTGCTGGTTTTGTTCCCGATTTATAGCATAATGTCAGTGATTAGTATATTGCTGAAAGTTAGTGTTGCTTTTACTCTCACATCTCAATATTTAACACATTTCCACACCCTCTAAGAGCGAAGAAGATTTTACCAGCTTACTACCAGCAGAGGGCATTACAGCATACAGTAGTTCACTAGATAGCAATGCTACCTTGTGAAAATGAGCCCATTTAAGAACAGCTCAAGCCCCTCAAAGGTCTGACGAATATTTTAAAACAAATTTGCAATAAAATAATGTAGGGTCTGAAATGAATTAAACTAATAGAATCTTAATGTAACTGGAGATTTTTCTATTATAATTAGTCTCCATACAAAGGATTTTTTTTAAAAAGTCCTCTGCATTTTTAAGACCTAAAATCAATGCACAGTACTAATTAATTAAAACTCTATAGACTTACGCCTACTTTCTATTATGCAAATGCATTCTACCCTTTGTAGTCAAACTGGATACTACACATGTAGACGATTTTTATTTGCAACAACATATGAGGCCAAGATTAAGCACATTTCTTTTTAAAAAAGTTTAGAAGAAAATTTAAAATTTTACATTTTAAAAAGTAGTACACATTTTTGTTAATACATTGAACTGTACAGCATTTTGAGTCCAATCCTCCCTAAACCCATACTCATTTGAGTAGCCTCATTTACTTAACTGGAACTGGCCCTTGAATAGTACCATACTTTCATAGCCAACTCTTGCAATGTTATTGTGAGTCTAAATCCCCCAGTTCCTGGAATCATGTTATGATGTGAGAATCTCAACTTTCATTTTTTTTAAAAAGGAAGATTCTAGATTCTTAGTCGAGAAGAAAACCTTGGAAATATGCGCTCTAAAGGCTTAAAAGACAGAAAGCAAATAAAAAGAATCCAAAAAAATATCTTTTCTGAAAATCTCATGACTTTTTGCCATTCGTTTTCTTTTTTAGCCAGATTTTTCTATCCTGATACATCTGTTCCACCTCTTCACCTGGGAATTACAACCTGAATGGTTATAAAATGGGAGGAAGAGACCATTGGGGGAATCCTGCCTTATTGAAATCAGTGTGGTTTTCCCCATTGACTTCAGTGGGGCAATAATTTCATCCCATATTCCTAGCCAAGCTGCTGTTATGCTGCTGCCTCCTTCCAGCTTTATAGTTAAGGAGCTGATCTGTTCTTGTTTCATTTCTTGAAGGCAGCCATAGTGTCTATGCAGCTCTGTCTGTGGTCTTGGGCTAAGGGTAGGACATTTACCTGCTCCCAGTTCTGCTCCCTTTTGCTATGCTGGCTATATAAGCTAGACAGGCAGGATGCTCCCGTCTCCTCACAGTTGAGCTTGGGAAGTAGGAGAGTTATATGATCCTTTTCTAAACTGCTATCTCACTTGGGAAACCCCAGAGGAAGCCTCCCCCATCTTGTAGGAACAGAAGTGGTCCACTGGAGGCAGGCAGTATTTCATAAACCTTTCACACCCGTGGTGTTTTCCAATGGTGCCAGCATCATCAAAGGGAGGCAGCTGCTAGCTTTTAAATTAAGTAAAGAAGTCTCTGGAGGGAGAGCTAAGAGACCTGTCCCTTCAGCAGTTGTACACAGACAAGGCTCTTATTTAGAACACATCGAAGATTTGTTTTGTTTTTAAAGCTGCACTTGGCTGGGGCCTCTGGAGATTTGCCTATACCCTGCAGGCCTGTCTGACCTTGGGTGGAGGAGCAGGTGCAGGAAGGAGACAGACTGATGCTCTCTGCTGCTTCCTGCCATGGACTACAAGCAGCAGCTTTGAAAGAAAAAGAAAAAGAAAAAACACCTCAAGTGAGCTGTTGTAAATCCCTTGCTAAACTCATGTCCGGGATAGGATTCCTACCTGTGTCCCCTAGCGGCAGCACTGATTTGCTCCACTGATTCCATATGTTAGCAATGTTTTATACGGATCCTTATAACATACATGAGACAGGTGTCCTATAATTGGCAATATCTGTGAGATAAACTGAGTTATCATACACATTTGAACATATCTCCTATTCTCTGTCTACTATTCTACCTCCCCCATTGCAATTACAACATGGAGAGCATGGGATCACTAATATATTTTAGCAACATGCTTAAGACTACATAGAAAACTTGAGAATCCATACAAATTTGCAAAATATTGAAATAATATTATGGAACAAGCCCGAGGGTTACCGCCCAATACAAAATGCAGAGTGGTCTCTCTCCCCACTGGACAGCGAATGATCACTGCATTTGGTGGAGAATGTGGGCATCATCCCCTCCCCTGAGATAAGAGGATAAGCCAAGGACAGCACTAGACAGAACTCTGTCACCCTCCCCCAGTTTGGGAAGGATGAAGATTGAGAAACTGATCAAATGGCTCGCTGAGAGCCAACAGCAACAGCAGGTGGGACAGCTCCAGCAGCAACAACTACTGCAACTACTAGGGAATCAGCAACAGCAACTGATTCAAGAACTGTGTGCCTAAAACTGAGCAGCAGCAACAGTGCTTACAGTAGCTTGCGGCGCTTGTGCCGACCCCAGGTGGCTCCAACACCAGGGATGCAGCAGCCCCGGCTGACACCACAGTGCTGGTGCGCTTGGCGAAAATGGGCCCTGAGGACGATCCAGAAGCCTTCCTCATCATTTTTGAGAGGGTCGCCTCGGCAGCCAAGTGACCCCTGGAGCAATGGGCCATCCTGAGAACCCCGACTAAAAGGACCGCAGAACCAGAGACCCTGACCCCCTGGATGAAGAGGTTGACCCCGGGCAATCCACTCAAGAAGAGGCCCCGAATTTGGGGGTAGACTTTATCCGGGACCAATGGGAGGATCCCTCACTGAGTCGGCCTATTAAGAGCTGGCTTGTGTTAATGGGACCATGCCGGAGCCCCTCCGGGGCAACAGTATACCCCAATTTCAAATTGACTGAGGACTGCCTTTACTGGATCACTCTTGGACACATGAAACCCGAGCCCAGCTCATGGTACTCCGATGACACCAGTGTGCAGTCTTGCGGCTTGCCCATGACGATCCAGCGGCTGGGCAACTGGGTCATGAAAAAACTCCAGCATGAGCCCTCGCCTGAGTCTTCTGGCCTGGAGTGTACAGGGAGGTGAAAGATTTCTGTGTCTCCTCCCTGAGTGCCAACGAGCAACCCCAAGGGGAGTATCAAGGGAACCTTTCATTCCCTTGCCAGTGGTTGCCACCCCATTGGAAAGGATCACCCTGGACCTCATAGGGCCCCTCCCAAAGAGTGTCATAGGATTCCAATACATCCTGGTGGTCCTAGATTATGCCACTCGGTTTCCAGAAGCAGTCCCCTTTTGGAACATCACAGCCTGAATGATTGCTGCAGAGCTCTTGAAAATCTTTGCCCAACTAGGCCTCGCCCGGGAAGTCCTGACGGACCAAGGCACCAACTTCATGTTGAAGCTCCTTTGCCAAGTCTGTAGCCTCCTGGGGATAAAAAAAAATGCATACATCCATATACTACCCACAGACGGATGGCCTTGTGGAAAGTTTTAACTGAACACTGAATGAAATGTTGCAAAAGTTCCCTCTGAAAGTTCTTCACCAGGGGGACCAACTTATTCCACCCCTGTTACTGGGAACTTATAGCTGGGAGCAAAAAGGACTGCTAGACCTTATGCGGGAAAACTGGAAACAAATACCATCTCCCTCACAGGGCCTCTTCCAATATGTCCTGCAGCTTCAGGAGCTGTTAACCAGGGCGGGGAAAGAGAATCTACAGTGTGCTCAGAAAGCACAAGAGCAAACATATAATAAGGGAGTTCGGGGAAGGACCTTTGATCCTGGCAAAATGGTACTGCTCCAACTACCCTTTGAAAAATCAAACCTCCTAGCATGCTGGCGGGGGCCTTATGAAATCATTCACCATATCAATCTGCTCACTTATGAGTGTCCCAATCCAACCAAAAGAAACAAAATGACAGATCTACCTTGTCAATTTGTTAAAGGCAGGACGGGAGTGCAAGGAGCTGTTAATTGCCCCGTACCTCATAGAGCCAGAGGTAGGACCCGAGCTCCCTGGCCCAACCAACTCTGACGGTATACAGCTGGGGGATACTCTGACTGAGGAGCAGCTAAGCCAAGCCAGGAGCCTATTGAAGGCATTCCGTAAAACCTTCATGGTGCAGCCAGGACTGATCACACTCATCCAACATAGAATATTGGTGGACTTGGGAGAAGATGTCCAAGCGACCACGAGGCCATTGCCACGCTGCTTCTGCGAAGTAGTGGAAAAGGAGGTTCAGACCATGCTGGAACTAAGCATAATTGAGAGGCCCCAAAGTGACTGTCCCAGCCCCATCGTTCTGGTCCCAATGCCTGATGGAACCCTTAGGCTCTGCATCGATTTTCAGAGACTGAAAACCATCTCTAAATTTGATGTGTACCTGATGCCATGGATCAATGAGCTACTAGACCACCTTGGTGATACCCAGTACATCAGTACCCTGGATCTCACAAAGGGGTGCTGGCAAATTCCTGTGTAGCTGAACTACAGGAAGACTGCATTCGCCACCCCGAACGTGTTGTACCAATTCACCTGGATCCCTTTTGGTTTCCACGGCGCCCCGGTCACTTTCCAGTGGCTGATGGACTGGGTCCTACAACCCCACTAGGCCTACACTGCTGCCTACCTCGATGACACAGTGATTTACAGCAGCCACTGGGAAGACTATCTCAACCAGGTGGCCGCTATCCTCAGAGCCTTATGCAATACCAGGCTGACTGCCAATCCAAAGAAGTGTAAAATTGGGTGGCAGGAAACCACCTATTTGGGATACACCCTCGGGTGAGGCCAAGTACGCCTTCTGGTAGGAAGTGTCCAGGCACTGCAGGCCTATTCGGTCCCTACCACAAAGGGGCAGGTGCAACAAGTTCTTGGGCTAGCGGGCTACTATTGCCACTTTGTCCCCCATTTTGACTCGATTGCAGCACCTCTGACAGAGTTCTTGAAGGACAGCCCTCAATGCGTGTGTTGGACCAACAAGTGCTGACAGGCCTTCCAAACCTTCAAAGACCAACTGTGTCGAGAGCTGGTGCTCTTCAAGCCCAGGGCCAGCTCTGGCTTTTTTGCCGCCCCAGGCAAAAAAGCCTCCCGCCGCCCCCCACCCCCCCAGCGGGGAGTGCGGCAGGGGAGGGCGCTGAGCCCGGCCACGGCCCCGCTCTCCCCGACCGGCCGGAGCGCCAGGGGAGGGCGGCCCCACTCTCCTCGGCCGGCCAGAGCACCGGGGGAGGGCGCCCCGCTCTTCCCGGCCAGCCGGAGCGCCGGGAAGAGGGCGGAGAGCCCGGCAGTGGCCCTGCTCTCCCCGGCCGGCCGTAGCGCCGGGAGGAGGGCGGCAAGCCCGGCCGCGGCCCTGCTCTCCCCGGGTGAGCACCGCCCCCCTCCAGGTGCCGCCCCAAGCACATGCTTGGAGGGCTGGTGCCTGGAGCTGGCCCTGGTCAAGCCAGACTTTAACCAGGAGTTCACGTTACAGACTGATGCATCGGAGGTGGACCTGCGAGCTGTCCTCTCTCAGGAGGTTAACGGCAAAGAGCATCCTATATTGTATATCAGTCACAAGTTGTTCCCCCCAAGAGTGGAACTACGTGGTGGTTAAGAAGGAAGCCGTGGCGGTCAAGTGGGCTGTGGATGTCTTAAGCTACTATCTCCTAAGGGCTCACTTTGTGCTGGTGACTGACCATGCCCCCCTGAAGTGGCTGAACACCATTAAGGAAACGCATCCCTCACTAATGCAGTGGTATCTGGCCCTTCAGCCCTATGCTTTCACGGTGCATCATCGAGCAGCTACAGATCATACCAATGCCGATTTCTTCTCTCGGTTGGGGGAAGGAGGCATTGCCATCTCCAGTTGCCCGGAGACGGACTTGTAGGGTTGTAGTGAAGCAGAGTGGCCTCCCTCTGGCCTGGATAGTGAGAAATCACTATACTCCCCCTGGGTGGGCGGAGCCGAACCCACCTTGCACTCCTTGCCAGAAGTACTAGGACAGGACAGAACTGTAAAGGAAGAGCTCAGCAGCTCAGTTGAGTGGGAGCTAGGGAAGGAGACAGACGCTTCCACTCTGCTGCAGCACCCGTGAGCTGAATCTGCACTCTGCAGCACTCTGCCTCGAAGGAGACGGACCCAGATGTGGAGTTGCTGGAACTACTATCCGTAATGTACCCAGGGGACCTGTGGATTCCAGAGGTACCAAACCCCAGAAGGTAGGAAGTAGCCCAGGGGCAGATGACAACTGTCCGTCTATGTGGCTGACTGTTTCGAGGTTAGCATGTTGTGGATGGATTCCCACTGTCCCACTGGCGGACCACTCCACCACTGTTAGGAACCTAGGCTGGGATGTGGTGGAGTTTGGTGGGCCCGCATCCCCCTATCTCTGCCACCTCACCTCTGGGGTGGCTGACTCCCCACCATAAGCCTGTAGGGTGGTGTGAATCTACTGTCCGTCAAGCTAGGATGCTAAACTCTGTTGATGCCCCCTCCCTTCCAGTGCCCCTATACTGTGAGGGTACTCAGCCCTACCCAAACCCTGAACAGAGTGTTTGTTGGCTGCCTTAGCCAGAAGGCTTAGGCTAAAGTTTGCTCCCTGCTCTGCCCTGCCCAAAGGGCTAGAGCTCCAGACTATTAAATACGGCCACTCTGCCAGTCCCAGCTGAGGGGCTGCAAGCTAAAGACTACTCAGTGCTTTGCTTCTCCCGAGGGTGGGGACAAGAGCACCCAATTATTATTTCTTGTTTGCCTCTGTTAGACAGGCCCAGACTTAGACTACTTAAAACTCAGCCCCGCTAGTGTGACCCAAGCCCCAGAGTTACTGCCCAATACAAGAGGCAGAGTGACCTCCCTCCGCTCTGGAGAGCGAGGGATCACTATATATCCTAACACAACCAAAGGGAGAATATAGCCCTAAGGCTATTCTAAGCATTTTTTAAAGAAAGTTAAATATATGTAAGCAGATAGGCTTTCAACACACAATTGGAAATTGTACTGAAAAAGTAGGCTGGTTATTTTAACTCATAACATGCAATTGTAAATTGTACTGGGTGAGCAGGCTGGTTATTTTCAGTGCTTGGCTTTCTGCTTTGCATTTGACAGAGTTAATTCACTGCAGGCATTCAGCTCTTAAATGGAGTCTGCTATAAGCATGTACAATAATTCAGTCAAAAAAATAAGACAGATAGCTCATGTAATTCTTTTTTCCAGATTGATAAAGTTAAGATTAACTATCCAAGGATTATAAACACATACAATAATCACCCCCCACCAAATTAATAAATCTATTATTACAGAACTCTTGTTTTCCGGGCCTGTTAACAATCATAGAACATTCCCCTAGAAGCTAACTGTACAGTATATCATTTTATTGGATTTATTTTTAATGAGACAGAGGCTTTTCTTAAACAAAAATTGTGTGCAGTTCATTTAAAAATGGATGTCCTTGGGAATATTAAATTCATGCTATCTGAGCTGTGAATATTAATGTATTTTCTCTTACAAATTTTAGGTGCATCATTTTGACAGCCTTTCTTCAGGGCCAATATATTATGTGACATGAATGGGGTCTCAAAACCAGATATTATGGAACAATAAATGGTCTGTTGTAGCTTTCACAATGCCTAGAGGGGACGGGAAAACCAAACCAAAAACAAAACAAAAAAACTACTTTTCATTTTATTGTGTTTGCTCTTTTAATGCCATTCAGATTTTTGTTCTTGTTGGTTTCTATTTCTTACAACAGCCTGAGCAATCCACTAGGTGACAGCCTAATACTCCTTCCTATACGATACATGGAAACAAGGAGATAGTGGATTCTGAATGGTTCACTTGATACACACAATAACCAAACACTGAGATTTCAGAGACAGGTGACTCTTTGTTTAAACAATATGTGAGATAACACTGATTTTGCAACAATTATGTTGTTTTGTATATTACATATTAAAACAGATCGTTTTGTCATTACAACAGTCAAACCGTGGAACAAAAGTTTTAAAAAGAATTTTAGGAAATATTGTTCACAAGGCATTTTGAGGTACAGTCTGCTGATGCTGAGTAGACTGAATAGACAATATGCCTTTAGCATTTTGTGTAGGAGAAACAGAAGTATATATTTTCAGTGAGTTTTTTCCACCAGGATGTGCTATAGCATAATTGAAATATACCTAGCATTATAACAAGAAAAAGCTACATTCACCAGTAGTGTAAACAAATAACAGTTACATCCCAGTATAAAATGGTTAGTGACGGCAGAATCGGCTTCAAACCTTCCAAGTTCAAAACCAGAGGAACAAAAAAATAGAAACAAGTAGGGCCCACACCTGCAAGATTTCTATACATACTTGGCCTTATGCCCATCCAAGTCAAAGGAAAGACTCCCATTGGTTTAAAGAGCATTGACTGAGACCCATAGCAACCCAATAATCTTTCCAGCCTTTC